AGGGAGGGAGGGAGGGAGGGAGGGAGAGAGAGAGAGAGAGAGAGAGAGAGAGAGAGAGAGAGAGAGAGAGAGAGACAGAGAGAGAGAAAATGAATATGGCTCCCTGGACTCTTCTCCCCAGGGATGGTCACACTCATTACCTGAGAAGGTGATGTTGAATCCCTCGTAGGACATGGAGAAGTCAGAGATGAAGCGTACTTGAGCCGTGAAGTTGCCATAGAGTCCGGCACTGATGGGTGCTGGCAGCCGAGAGCCGGTCAGTTGCCTCAGCGGCTGGGAGAAGCTGCCATTCTCAGTGATGAGGAGGTAGTCATGGCCACTCTCCAGGTGGAAGGTATGGAAGGTAAAGAACACGCCTGCAGAGAGAGAGAGTAGAGGTGCAGGCTGGGGTGGGCAGATGGCTGGAGACGAGCTCCTTGTTCTGGCAGTCAGCACCGGCGAAGGACGCCTGCAGATAATCTACTATATTGCTTCACAGCCGTTCACTGTGTCTCTGTGGAGTCTGCACCATGGGCAAGATTCAGGGTGAGGAGGAGGAGAAAGGCCAACGTGTTAAACAAAGACCTACAGTCAGAGGGATGGATGCTAGCCTGGAGACCAGCCGGCCATTGGGTGCTGAGACAGCAGTCTACAGCAGGGAGCAGAGTGGGGTGAGGGCTCAGTTGGTAAAATGCTTGCCGTGAGAACCTGAGTTTCATCTTCAGAACCCATGTGTGCAAGCAGACTGTGGTTGGCTGTGCTTGTTGATCCCAGAGCTGGGGAGGCAGAGACAGTGGTGCCCAAGGCTCGCTGGCTGACCTGCCAGCTCAGCCCAGTCTGTGAACCCCAGCTCAGTGACAGATCTTGTCTCAAAAAAGCAAGGTGGATGGCTCTAGGTGCAACATTCAACTGTCCTCTGGCTTCCACACACGTGTGTACCCGTGTTCATTTATGCACCCACGTAAGCATACACATATAACTAAGTGATTGATTAAAAGATGGAGGGGAAAGAGAGGCTTGTGAGACAAATCTCAGAAGGTCGCACAGTCATTCAGTAGTTTAAGACAAGGAAGACTGTCCCTGTCAAGGGAGCAGCCTATCTTTGGGGATAGAGCAGCTGTGGTGTTCAGGGCTTCATAAGCAGCAGGGTAGCTGGGCGTCTTCAGGAGAAGCGTCTCAACCTGAAACTGGGGACAGATCTGGCTCTTTGCTGGAATCAACAAGATGGCTGGCCCCTCCCACCCGAGGTCAGACTTTGGTTATAGCAAAGTGATGGTCAGAAGAGGATGGAGTTGGAGGAGGGAAGTCAGAGAAGTCAGTTTTAAGGGTGGCCGCTTGCACTGGATGAGGGGTGAGGCTTGGCATCAGGAGCAAGAGCGAGCACAGATGGATAAGGAATCCTAGGCAGTTGGGTGAGCAGCAATGGCAGATACAATGCAAAGGGGTGAGGGGATGGCTGGGAAATAAGGGGTGAGGGGATGGCTGGGAAATAAGGGGTGAGGGGGATGGCTGGGAAATAAGGGGTGAGGGGGATGGCTGGGAAATAAGGGGTGAGGGGATGGCTGGGAAATAAGGGGTGAGGGGGATGGTTGGGAAATAACAGCTAGGGCAGAGAGCACACCAGAGGGTCTAGTGCTGAAGCTGGCCTGGGTAGCATCTGAGCTTCCAGTGAGCAGCTGAAAGAAGATTCAGGAGTTCAGGACTTGGGTGGGACTTCATAGGTGGATCTGAGTCACTAACAGAAGGTGGCATTGAATGCCATGAGCTTGGACTACCGGGTCCAGGAGAGTTTGCAGTGTTGCAGTGTCAGAGACGGGGAAGGATATATATATATATATATATATATATATATATATATATATACATATATATGCAAACACACACACACACACACTCACACACATACACATATCCTGAAGAAATAACATGAGACAGAGGAGGTGGGGCAGAGGCAGCAAAGAGACCGGAGAGTGGAAAGATAGGGGATGTCTTTCCCTTGGACAGCAGCAAGAATGTATCTGTGTGTCCCTTTCCATGAGGATGCATGCCCTTGGCACCTACCAAGTGTCAGGGGCGGGGAGGGAGACTACGAGTGTAAAGCAAAGCAACAGCAGTACTATTCCTTCACTGCATTTTATGTCCCTGTTGTCACTATTCTTGCTTGCCCCCGAGGCCAGCCCTTAGCAGCTAGAAGTGAAGCTGGAGAAACGGATCTGCCAGTTACCCTAAAATGTGGGTGTCATCTGTTCTATGTCTATTAGGTACCCTGGAAAAAACGAGGCACAAAGAGATGAAGTCATTTGTCCAAGGTTCCCCTCATAGATAGCAGAGCTGAACCCAGGACACCTGACTACAGATTCTGTTCTCCCACTGGCACCAGCCAGTACATCCATGGGCCTTGCAGTGTGACAAGGACAGGGTCTATTTGGTACTGTGTGTGTGTGTGCTATGGACCCACAATATGGATGTCACCTGGGAGCTTGTGAGAAATAACTCTCTTCAGACCTACCAGGCCACAATCTACATGCTGAATATATACAGCTACTGTGGTGTAGCTCTGTGACACCAATGGCACTTTTTTGGTAAATGGTGGTTGGAGCCAAGCCCCAAAGGCTGAAGAATTTGAAAATCTTTGCATGTCCTTGCACCCCCATGGGCAGGAAGGAGCTAGAGATCCCCAAATGTCTGGGTTTCTATGAGAGTTGGGGAGGTGAAATGAGCAGAGGTGGTGGGGTGTAATAAACACTCTACGTCTAGGTAACCAGGATTCGTCCAAGTACTAATGTCTGCAAGGATACAGGTCCTGTGTCCCTACCAAGCACTGGGCTGATGCTTAGTGCCTTGTGCTGAGAAAGATTTGGCTTAGTGAAGGAGAGAGTTGCAGCAACTGTGGGCAATCTCTGTAGGCCATGGGGAGTGTAAGCAGCTATGTCTGGGGCCTCCACGAGGAGCGTCGGAGGGATTCGCTGGTGAGGGTCCGTGTAGCCCTGGACAGACAGGTGTGAGCATTCGTGGTGGTGGCGGTGGTGAACATGTGGATCAGATACAGTAACATGCAGAAACGAGTTGTTGAGACACCAGCTTGGCCCTGCTCTTCCAGCGTGCAAACACAGCCTCTTCCGGGGAGTAAACATTTGGCTGGGAGTCTAAGGATGAGCAAACCCAGCTGAAACCCTCGGGTTTCCCAGCTGTGCTGATTGCTTGGGGCTTTTTTAGGCCACTGTGAGAAGATGAAGACATTGTCATAGAAACAGAGAGGGACTGGTTGGAGTTTGAATCCTATTTGGTGTGACAGATGCACACAGTGGAGTGAGCTACTGCATGGGGCAGAAATTGCAGGGATCACATGTCTGCCTGCTCATGGAAGGACAGTAGCCTGGGTCCCTCGGTAAGTGCCTTCCCTCAGATGCAGTAGGGCAATGGCAGACTCCCCTTCCCAGGTGGCAAATAGTCCTTGGGATGAGGTACAACTTGGTAGAGCCACACTGTCAGGCTCCTGGTGCCATCCCGGCACATAGAAGGGACCCAGCAGGGATTCAACAGGTGGTCTGGGCTCCAGATCCCCAGGTGACCTGGAAGGTTAGGAGAGGTCATTCCTGGTACGGTAGGAGAAAGGTTACTAGAGACTAAAATGCCAAGATTAATGTGTCAAAGGAGCCTATCTTCAGAGAGAGCCTGGAAGCCCTTCATCACCTTGAGGCTTCATCCATGGAACAGAACATTTAGAGTGGGGAGAGGGACATGGTTGGGAGAAGCAGAGACCGTGAAGAGTTATAAAGGGCTGTGTACAATGTAGCCTGATGCTTCTGGGATGTTTTCCTTAGTCCCCACTTCCATTCTTGGAAGTGTTTTGTTCCTTCTTAGTAATTTGTTTCTGGTTCCAATCAAGTGTTCCTGGTCCAATCGTTTGTCCTGGGCGCACGAGCCTACGAACTGTGCCTTGTGAACCCAGATCAGTGGTCCTAAGCCTATTTTCTCTGACACTCTGGGCTTTCTCACTGCTTCTGAATGCCATGCCTAGCAGACACAGCTTTCTCTCCATCTCCTCTCCTCCTGCAACTGCCTGGATTTCCATCTTGCCTGTCCTGTTAGTTTTTTTTCTTTTTCTTGAAATTTGATAAAATTGTCTTCAAGCTTCCGAGTCTGTTTTTTAAAAATCTTTTATTAATGATTTTTAAGAACCCCAAAGAGGGAACCCCATTTTCCTAATAACTAACATTGGGGTCTCCATAATGTCACATTCTCTGGACCCCTGCATTGCTAAGTCCTTTCACCATCCCACCCCATGTAACCTAAAGGCATACTGTGCCCCTTCCTTTGGCCACTACGTGATTGAAACAGAGTACCCTGGGGAACTTTGATTTCATACTGAGAATCTCATGTGGTCAAAAGGAAAGGGTTACAGCCTAGGTGGTAGCCAGAGCTGGGAGCTTGTCTCCAGGAACAAGGTCTCACACAGTTCTGAGAACTTGACCTCTTGTAGGAGACTGAACCTGAGATAATGGTGCTGGGTGGGACCAAAGCTTGCCCAGGATTGCTTCGCTATGCAACCTATTTAAATGCAAATCTCATGCTAGGACCCACCCCTGTGTGTGTGTGTGTGTGTGTGTGTGTGTGTGTGTGATTGAACCTCTTTGTTTCTCTTCTCAATGTGTCCACATTGAATAAGTCCCTCTTTTGTGCTTTTCACCAATACTTTAGTCCCTTAATTGGCCAACTGAGGACTGGTGGCCAAAGCTGCCCATGCCCTGGGTCTGGCAGCGACTCCAGTAACCCTGCCATATGGCAGCTGAACAACTCTGAATAAAGTTAACTTTCCCCAGCTGGGCTTTCTCTTGTTTGGGAACAATTCAAATAAACAACCTGGGGATCTGTTAGCCCAACATAGTCTAGGAGCAGGGCATAGGAAAAGGATGTGAAATTCACATCAAAACCAGGGGAGGGGAAGGGGAGGGGAACCAGAGATCTGCCTTTCACAGAGCTCCCAATATGTCATGGAGGTGGGGGTTAAAATAAAAGTTCAAGGAACCATATTCTCTTCCTTAATGATGGAAAGTTCTAGAAGCTGAGCTGAGGTCTGGGTGTCTGGGACTCAGCAGGTAGCTGCAGCCCTGCGTTTCCTGGGCTGGTTTACTTAGGGTTTGATGCTAAAGGCAAAGGGAAGCTTTCGAATGGTTCTAAGGAGATCTGGTCATTTACCACAACCTCTCATTGATTCACAGACATCTTATCCTTGTTAATTCTTTCCTGGACATCATTCTTGAACACAAGCTCACATTTGAACTCCAGGATACTTGCCTAACATCTATCTTCTGTCTGCCTCACCATGGTAAACTGAGATCTGGATCTACATCATCAGACATGTATGTATGAAACAGCCAGTGAGCTGATGTGATTTCTAGGTAAACACGTGGAAATATAGTGACATATACATTCACACAATCTCAGACGCTCAGCTATAGAAACATGCATCTCTGGGATCACAGGGGCCCAGATACAGAACATCTTTAATACAGAGGTTGTCTTTCTAGGAACCTTCAGGGCTGCCTTGATTTCCAGGAGGTTTCTGCCTTGCTTTGATGGAAAAGCTCTGGGCCATCCTAGCCCTGGGCAGAGTTGGCCTTGAAAGCCGAGGTGGATACTTGAATACACATGGTATGTATAGCGATACTCTTCCTTTCAGGTTTTTTTCTTTATGTAAATAGTGTGGTTACATAAGATGTCTTCCTAATTCATGGGGAAAGAAGTCCAAAGATGAGAATGAAGAAAGGGTAGCTAGTATGAACATGTGGAACAGACCTCTGCAGATCATGTCCTGTACAAATAGCCTCCCTTCTGCTTTATAAATGCACCAGACTTTGGGGGCCATGCTTTGCTGTTTAACTTACTGGCATACCTCTGATGGTCGGCAGACATTCTTTCCTATGTTATTTCTTTTTGTAGCTTCCTGGCATTCCATTCCTTACCTGTACTCTCTGCTTATTTCACGGTTTACTTTTATTTGTGTGTGCATGTGCACATGTGTGTGTGTGTGTGTGTATGTGTGTGTGTGTGTGTGTGTGTTTATATGCTACAAGTATACAATGCCTGTGGAGGCCATTACATGGATTCAGATTCCCTCAGGCTGGAGTTGGAGGTAGTCACCAGCCACCTGAAGTGGGTCTGAGAACTGAATTTGGGTCCTCTAATCCATTTCCAGAATTCTCATCCACTCAGATTACTTAATTTGTGTGTGTGTGTGTATGCATGAGTGTGCTATGCACACATGTGCATGTGTGTAGAAGGCAGAGGTTGATCCTGGTTTCTTAATATTGGAGCCACTGAATCTGGCGCTTCCTGATTTGGCTAGCAGCTGGCCAGCATGTCCCAAGAAGCCATGCATCTGTGCTTCCAGGGCTCTGGTGTTACATGCATTGCTGAGCCTGGCTTTTTACATGAACATTGGTGGTCTGAGCTCAGATCCTCAGTACATGTTAAGCAAGTATGTTAGGAACTAAGGCACCTCCTCAACCCTAGTTCCTAATTTTTTGATGTAATAAAAAAATGTGCCTGAGAGGTACATGAGAGTATGCAGTTTTACTACTTGTGTTCAGGTAAATGAAGTGACATCGCTGGATACAGAGACCACGCTGATTTCCCATTCCCGGACCACCGCCGGGAGAAGCCCAGGCCTGTCCGCACTGGTCAGAAGTGAGGCAGCGAGGCCTAACCATGTCTATACCACCCCGTGCATTACGCCGTCCTGACGTGACTTGGAAAGGGAAACTGTGTTTCATTACTGGCTGAAATTGCATGTCTTTAATTATTGGTGGGGCTGATGTTTTCAATTTGTATTTCAATTATGAAGTGTTAGTTTATAGCTCTGCTCATTTTTCAGGTTGATGGGCCGGGCCGAGTTTTCTTACAGAATTTAAAAGCTCTTTATACATTAGGTCGGCAGTGTTTAGTCAATTACATACATCACAGATAATTTTTTTTTGCGTATTTACTATTGACTTTGCATTTTCACAGAGGTTTTTTTTTAATTCAAATCTTATCAATTTTTAAATTTTAATTGAATCCAACAGCCTTTGCTTTTATGGATTATCTGTTAAAGGAACATCCTGCCAGAGGCTAAGACTATCCATGGTGCTCGCTCTATAGCTCTCATCCATGTGGCTTTGTGGATGAGATAGGGATGGGATTTTAAACATTCCTTTTCCAAATGGTTAAACTCACGTGTGTGTGTGTGTGTGTGTGTGTGTGTGTGTGTGTGTATGCACATGTGCATGTGTGGGTGTGCATGTGGAGGCCAGGGATTAATTTTAGGTGATATTCCTCAATAGCTGTCCATGCTGGCTTTGGAGATAAGGTTTCTCACTTGGATTTGGGGTTCACTGACTGGCTAGGCTGACAGGGCTAGGCTGACTGGCTGGGGTAGACCAGGGGTCCCCCTTTCTCTGCCTTCTCTGCTTTGGGATTATAGCAGTGAGGCAGACACTGTGTCCTGCTTTTCACACCGGTGCTGGGGCTTGAACTCAGGTCCTCATGCTTGCAAAGCAAGCATTTCACCAATGGAGATTTCTCCAGGAGCATAATTCCAGTTTTAAAATTCTGTTTACTTATTCAATGGCTCTAAAATGATACTTTAGTTATGCCTTATAGTCCGTTTTTGGCTGTGTACCTGGGCATGTGCACACAGAAGCATCAATTTCTGTACCGTGCCCCTGTTGAGTAAAGGATGTCCACTTCTGGACTAATGTACTACACACTCTCAACCCATACCAACTTTTGGGGAGGGGGGTATTCTTCTATTTCAACCCGTTAATCCTGTAATCTTCTGCATGCTAATTCTTCCAGATCAGAGTTTTTTGTTTTGTTTGTTTGTTTGTTTTCATTTTTATTGAAGCCACACATCACAATTATCAGTGATTGTCAAGGCCTAGCTTCTACTCCCAATGTAGAAAACCCAAAGCTGTGAGCCTAGGTGCTAGAATTCTTGCCAAACAATAGAGAGATGTCAGAGGAAGCATTGGGCAGAGGCTGTAACAGCCCATTTCCTGCTGCTCACTAGCCCAGTGTCTGCCATGTGGGTGGTCAGAAGCATGAACTAGTAACTAACTTGTAACTAGCACCCTTGCTTTGAACACGGACTCCCAATGATTTCATTTGTTCCTTAACAATTGAGGGACCAACAGAAGCTGGGGAGGCGAATGAATGTGTGTCACCCTCAGAAAGAAGAAAGCTATGTGAGAGGGGGCTGCCATGCTCAGAATCTGAAGAGTGAACACGAGGAAGAGGGACCAAAAGTGTCCCAGGCTTCTTTGGTTATAGGACAAGGACAAAGGGTTTCAGAGACACTGGAGAGATGCTGCTAAGACAACAGGTTTCTCAAGAATGACAGTAGCCTGGCCTGGTAGTACAGACCTGTAATCCCTGCTATTAGGACACAAGTTCAATACTAGTCTGGTTAACTTAGCAAATCCCCATCTCAAAATAAAATGTAAAAAGTGGAGTAGAAAATCTAGCTCAATCGTAGGGGCTTGTTGGGCCTGTGTACAGTCTTACGTTCAGCTCTTATCTCTGTGCCAGTCTAAAAAAAAAAAAAAAGTAGAGATTCATTTGTGGACTAGTTTCCTGTCTCCGTACCAACAGGGGTGTGCCGCCACCTTAATGGGACACGTTAGGCTAAATGGCCTTTAATGACTGGTTACTAGAGAGACCTCTTAAACCCTGAGAGGTTAGATTCTCAGCAGTATTTACCGAATGGCTTCTGTGACGCAGACATGTGTGCAGTTCCTGCAAGTTTTCTTATTGGTAAGAAAATCTAGACTAAGCTAAGTTCAGCTGTCATCATGTAGTGAAATTTTCATGGAAGTTGCTTTGACCTGGGACTCTGGAGTCCTGGCCATGAGGTCAGTACCTGCTGCAGGCTTAAACACTCACCCTTGCCATGTGACGTCTCAATAACCCAGGTGCAGTTCAAGTTGTTGGGGTAGAAGTCAGGGAACCCTGGCGACAAGATGGTGCCACTGGAGCCTTGAATGAAGCCACCACAGAGGGCTGTAGGAGTGGAATGGGCAGAGAAAGTCAGAGTGTCTCAGAGAGCTGCCCCAACCATCCTTCATGGACCCCCACCCCCAAACCACCAACCTCACCGATGAGTGTTGGGGAGTCAGTGAATCAGGCTCCTGGCTTATCAGAGCAGGAGAAAGAATCTGCTCTTTATCGCCCCCTACTGGTGTACCTCACCTTCACAGCTGGGCAGGGCACGACTCCATTGGAAATTTGGCTCACACTCCAGGGGTTCCCCATCGCTTAATGTGTAGCCTGAGTCACAGCTGAAGGTCACCAGAGCACCCACATAGAAGTCATTTCCATGACGCTGCCCGTTGACGGGGATGCCTGGGTCCAGACAGTGGTCTGACTGTAGTGTAATAGCTGGAAAAGAGAGGCCACAGCTGGGAACAGACAGTGTGTGATGTCATCAAGGAGGGACCCCATCTGGCTTATAAAAGGAGGGAAGACAGAGCCTTGGTCTACAGAGTCAGAAGTTGCCAGTTACCAACTCATGAAATGTGGCCCTTGGTATTCATGTAGAGGAGGATGAAGGGGACATTTGAGAGGCCCAGCTCTCAAGCTGGCTCACACATTCAGCCCAGGTCTACTGAATATTTACTCTGGCTTAGGCACTATAACAAGACTTAGTGACAAAGCATGAGTAAGCAAATGACTCTGTCCTCGAGATGCTCTCAAGTCACACAAGCGAGACGCTTCCTAATTTGGTCTGGAAGGTACTGACATGAGGTTAACCTTCTAAGTCAAGGAGAGACAAATGGAGTTGATGAGAGAAGGCAGATGCAAGGGAGATGCCAACTGACTTCAAGTTCATGGCCAGTCAAACCCTTGATCCCACAATGCGGGGTATGGCAGCAGCCAATCACCTGTAGACAGAGGAAGCTGGGAGGTGTGCATGTGGGACCTGGCCTGAAGGTCATGAGCAACCCAGTTCCCATGTGAGAGAGGCTGAGAATGATGTTTAGGTTGGCTAAGGCTGGGTCCATGGTGGAGCACAGTCAAGGAGCCTTCCCTCAACCCAGTCAGTCTGGTTGTCTGCCTCTTTGTGCCACCCACTGAGACTCACTCTCATAGCGGAGCTGGAAGCCGATGTCTGAATGACTCTTGTCAGTAGAGAAGAGGAGGTAGAGGTAGTTGCTGGTGCTGATGAGGAACTGGGGCACCTGGGTCCCATGGTAAACGCCAATCAAAGGCGCTGAGTATGTCCGTCCGTCTCGCACTTCCAGGGTGTCATAGTTGACCTCAGTTTTAAACCTACCAAACCATACAAATGGCGATGTTTTAAGAAACCCAAAGCGTATCATTTGCCCTGTCCCACCCAGGGCTCCAGGCAACCAGATTTCAGCAGGCAGGATATTTTAATATAATTTGCATACATTTAATAATCATACGGAAGGACTTCCTCTACTGCATTTAACTCAACTATCCCTTAGGAAGTACACTCACAGTGTACTTAGGAGTGTCTTAGGAAGTACACTCACAGTCCTCTCTAGAACTTGGTCCAGAATCCATCTTCAGATGCAGAGACAAAGGCTTCATGGGATTCAGAATGTTCTAGACTAGGGGTTTTATCCATCAAAGCCCCAGGATCAAGTCTGGCCTTTGGCTTAGAGAACTAAGACTAACTTTTACATTCATAAAAAAGATGTTTAAAAACCCAAAGCAATGAAGATTGTGCAGCAGAGTCACACACGGGCAGGTGGCCCACGGAGCACAGCGTGTTTCTTATGCCACTCTTCATGGGACAGTTGGCAGACCGTGAGTTTCATGCCACTGATGCTCCATCTGGAGGTGCTCTGGGTTCACATCTGGGAGACTACTTTCCCACCAAAGGGCTTAATTAAAGATTGGGAATGGGAGGAACACTTGAGCAGGGTTTAGGACAGAGGTTGGGGAGCACTCCTTCCCATGCTGAGCTTTTGTGGGCTCTATCTAAATATGATGGTGTCTGATGGTGCCTACTTGCCATCTCTCTTTAACGGGATAGTAAAGGAAAGGGCTCTGGGGTCCAAAGCGATCAGTTGCTTGCCTTCTCATCCCCAGCCACAGACTCCCGGTATATCAATCAAACTCAAACATAAAGCCAGTGAGGCAGTCATCCCCATGTCCTCCACCCTGCTGATGTCTTACGCTCCCCCCAACTTTGTCAGAGTGGAGGCATCGTCTTGGCACCCCCCACCCCCTTGGAGGGTGTGGTCAGCAGCACCTGTCGAATGTAATTTTGATGGGGTATCCAGGCTGGGCTTCGATCACCCAGGAGCAGCTCAGGGCATCCTTGTAGAAGCCAGGCCAGCCTGGAGATAGGATGGTCCCGCTGGGAGAAGTCAGGTGACCACCACAGGGAGCTGGGGGAACAGAGGGGGAAAAAAAGCAGATTTGGTGAGAGACAAATGAACGAAGAAATAAACAAAAACCCCTCTCTATAAAAAGTGTCAGCCAACAAGGACTTGTTTTGTTTTTATGGAAAATTACATAAAGTCTAAACTGTGAGCTTTGCCGACTGGGACCCTTATAGATGTGACCGGTTACATCATTGGCAGGTTTATAAAAGGCCTGAAGGAAAAGACTAAAAATTCTTTCAGCAAGGTCTGTTTGTCATTCCAGTGGGGCTAATATTTGGGTCACTGCTGCCTTTTTCTTTGTTCCCAACTCAATTGCCAGGCCTGAGGCAGAGGCATCAGCCCAGCCTACTTTCTCCCATCAACACTGGGGAGCTAGTGGCTAGACGTGGGGTCAGCTCAGGGCAGTGTTGTGTCTCGCCACACTGTGAGTACTGAGTTATTTGCCTTCTCCATCAACCAGGCCCAGTATTTACTATAGGACCTGACACATAACTCTGCCTCCATGGTTGTTAGGTAAGAGAATGGATCCAAGGATGGATGAATGAAATGTGGGACAGGTGATTCTCAAGATGCTGGCTGCTTCACCCCACCCTCTGGTTGGCTTTGGTCCCATGAAGCATGTCATTGCCTCCTGCTTAGGCTCCTTCCCATAATTCCTTCCTCCAGACGCCATGCCTCCTAGCCTGTGTGATGGCTATCCTTCAGGACACATGGTAGGTTTCATTGTCATGCTGGGTCACATGACTGCTTTGGCCAATAGGATGAGAGAACATGAATGATGCCTGTCGCGACCATGTGGATACGTTTAGAGTTAGCACATGGCTTGCAACATTTCATCTTCCTGTTTCAGTGTCTGTGGAAACAGGTGTCAAGATGGGAGCCCCACCCACCAGGGCCTTTAAGTGACGTCGAGGAGTGGGCCCACTTATGAACTGTGTTAAGTGTTGTGAAGACTAAATTTTCTTGCCACCTTGATTGGATCTAAAGTCACCTAGGAGACAAACCTCCAGGGATGTCTCTGAGGGAATGTCTACAGGAAGTAAACTGAGTAGGGAAAGAATCACCATTCCATGGTGTGAATAAATACAGAATAAATGTACAAATAGAGAATAAATAAATAATAATCACGATTAAAAAGAGAAAGAGATGAGTCCAGCATTCCTCTCCCTCTGCTTCCTGACTGAGGGTACAGCATGGCCAGCTGCCTCCAGCTGCCTCCAGCTCCGGCCACTATGACTCTCCTGCTTGTAAGTCAGACTAAATCTCTCCTTTCTTAAGTTTCTCTATCAGGTGTCTTGTCACAGTGATGAGAAAAGTCTCTCAGACACTTAGCTTAAAAGGTCTGCAATCTCAACTGGGGCTGTTGGGACTGGGAGTTATGTAACAGGGTGATGTTAACACTTGCCCAAGCTCCCTAAAGAGTGTGAGCATACCACCACCACACTAAGGCTGTTGTCATTGTCATGGCCACCCTCAGTAGGCTGAGCGCTCATACCATAGTCAGGCATTTCCACAATATGTGACCATATTCCTCAGACCATATTTCTTCCCACCTACGAGGCTGGTGCTGTGACTGTCATAGGAAGCTGAGGAGCATGAGGTTGAGGGACCAGCTTGGACTTGGAATTAGGCAAGACATCACAGAAGCAAGTGCCACAAGCTAAGCAGCCTCTAGGCTGTAAAGAGATTCCTGCTTCCTCTAGAGCAGCAGTTCTCAACCTTCCTAATGCTGGGACCCTTTAATATGGGCCTGTTGTGGTGAGCCCCAGCCATAACATTATTTGCATAGCGACTTCACACCTTTAAGTTTGCCACTGGTATGAATTGTAATGTAGATCTCTGTGTTCTCTGATGGTCTTAGAGGACCCCTGGAAAAGAGTCTTCAGTCCCCAAGGGGGTCACGACCCACAGGTTGAGAACCACTGCTGTAGCCCCTCTTACTGCAGACCTACTAGAGGCCAGACACTTCCTGAACAGGACTGAGGTAGAAATAAGGGAGCTACCAGGCGTGTCTTTCTTTGCAAATTCTTCTAGATGCTTCTAGGTCAAGATGTCCTCTCAAGCTGAATTTTCCTCCTTCCTTCTTTGTTTCTTTGTTTGTTTCTTTCTTTCTTTCTTTCTTTCTTTCTTTCTTTCTTTCTTTCTTTCCTTCCTTCCTTCCTTCCTTCCTTCCTCCCTCCCTTCCTCCCTCTCTTCCTTCCTCAAACCACTCTTTACCCCCTCCTCCCTCCATCTCTTTCTTTTTAGATACAGGGTCTCTTGTAGCACAGGATAGCACAAACTCACTACATAGCCACAGATGGTTCTGATTCTTTCTCCACCTCCAGAATGCTGCATGCAGACATGCAGCTTCACATGCAATTTACGCAGAGGTAAGCAACATACCAATTGGGATGCATCCTCAGCCCAGAGATTCTTTTTCTAAAAGATACTGTAGTTTATTATTTTATGTGTATGTCTGTGCATTATGTGTGAACGGTAGTTCCTGAAGAAGCCAGAGAGTGTCATATCTCCTAGAACTAGAGTTACAAGTGGCTGTGAGCAGCTGTGTGGAAGTCGGCAACTGAACTTGGTTCCTCCAGAACAGCAGCAAGTGCTCTTAACAGCTGAGCCATTTCTCCAGCCCAGACATTCTTAATAGAAAAGTATATTAGGACATTTAATTAACAGAGGAGGTAACAATAGGAATGACATCAGGAAGAGGTGCCAATGCCTCCTGGTGCCCCACTCATTGGATTGCTTTATTATGTCATCCAAATGCATGACAGTAAAGTTATTATCCCCATTTTACAGAGGAGGCAACCGAGACCAAGGAGGTTAAGACTCTAGATAAAAGATGTTAAGCTAATGAAGTCAGAGCTGAGATTTAACCTGAAGACCTCTGTCTTCAAATCTCCTGTAGCAGACAGCACACCACTGTCAAACAGACAACTGAGCTAGAGGGTACCCAGCACTTGCCAGGTGTCGGGGCTTAACATGGATTATCCTTGTGAAGACTGCAAAGCAACATGGCACATATGTTATTGCCTTCATTCTATAGGAGGAGATTATTGCCGCCATTCTATAGGAGGAGATTATTGCCGCCATTCTATAGAAGGGGATTACTGCTCTGATCTCTGTGAGTGGAGGCTTAGAGAAATGAGGTAATTGGATGGTGTCTATATAAAACACTGAGAACTAAACCATACACGGGTATCATCCCCCCTGTATCTCTGGTTTGTAAAACCCACCCATCATCTCACTGAATCATCTCCCACAGCACATGTGTGGGACCTCAGGGCCAGGGAGGGATGCGTCATCCGCTGTGCCCCAGAGGTCTCAAGTAGGTTCTGAGTCTTGCCTCTCATTCATTCCAGGTCCAGCCTCTCTGGGTTGGGGCTGGATGCTGACCTCCCTCCTCAGTATCCAGGAAGCCCCAGGCCAAAGGCAGAATTGCATTCCCTGACTGCAGACAGATAAACAGAGCCCTGTCTTGAGTGTAAATCCTTTCTGTGGTGGCCCCATGTTCTTGTTTTTCTCTGATCTTCTGTCACTGCTTTAGATGACTAATCCCATCTCAAGCACATGTGATGGACAACGGGGCTCTCTGTTCCATCCTGCATTCTATCACTCTCATAGTCCAGAGTGGTCCATGACTGGAGAGGAGGAGTCCTCGATGAAATGTCTCTTTAGCAGTACAACTCCTGGACATCACTCAGACAGACAGCATCATCCTTCCTTCCTTTATGGTCCATCTGAGTAAGTACTAACACTGTAATATGGATTTAATTTTTAAAGCATTTTTTGACTAGATGTGTGCAGCACATCTCTATGCACATGAGAGCACAGACATCCGTGATTCTATTTATCTAAAGAAGGTGTAATATGAAAGTTAAATCGGGCTAGAGGGGTGGCTCAGTGGTTAGGGGTGAGTAGTGCTCTTGCAGAAGACCTGAGTTCAGTTCCCAGCACCCACAGGGGTGGAAGGGGGTGGGAGGCTGGTTCAGAATTACCTGTTAGCTCCAGCACCTGTGGATCTAACACCTTCTACTGGCCTCTCCAGGTACCTGCACTCACATACACATATCCACACCTACATGCATACACGTATACCCAACTGAGACCTAAAAATGGATCTTTAAAAAGCTAAATTGGTATTAAAGTGTTAGTACCCACTCAGATGAATGGAGAATGTGGAGTGTTCGCCAGGGGTAGAAGGGGTGCACTCAGAGCTTTACTTTCCCTGAAAGTACATTGGTGTTTTGTTTTGTTTCCTTTTTTGGGGCAGATTTAACTCTGGAACTACATAAGCACTTTGCATAATTGAAAATGATTAAATTTGATGTGCAATTTCTAAAAACTTAAACAATACAATACTATATTGTGTATTTATGTATAAGAACCTAAAGAGATCTTAAAAGATAGTAATTTGATAGCCCATCCATCTCAGGAAATGAGGATATAAAGAACAGAATGGTGATGACGATGACGATGATGATGGTGATGATGAAGAACAAGAATAAGACAGTCTTAGTAAGCATGCTGCTGTCTGTAGCACCGTCTTCACTGTTCTGAGAGTCCTGGGTATTCATCACAACATGGGAAGTCAGCCATGTTGGTGTTCTGTGGGACTAACATCTTCGGAAGATGTTAGGGAGTCCACTTGGCAATACACAAATAATAAAAGTATATAAAAGAAAATAATTATTTCTTCAGTCTTTTCTTTCTGAACTGTATCTTAAGACATGCTTTCTTCAAGTATCCCAACTTATAAAAGATGGAATGATGGAGAGTTGCCATTTTTCAGTCTCTGGGCTGGGATCTTCTTGCATTTTTGAGCAAGAGTGAAAAGACAGTTGAATATAATATCAAGGAAGTTGAGGTTAAAAGAAGAAAACTTCATTATTCAAAATGAAATGAACCCGCACACATTTTCTTTGATAAAGCAGTTCCTAGCGGCGTTTACCAAAATGGCTTACAAACATGGGCTGAGTCAATAGTAATAAGCACCCTTTAGTAGTCTAGATTCTAAACATCAATTTCCTTTAAAAGGTGCCTTTAAAAAAACCCAACTGATTCTAGGTCGGGGCAGAAAATGTCAAGAAGAGGCTGGACCATCCTCAAAGTGCTCCTGCTAGCTGGGAAGACAATGAGAACCTCAGTTAGCATTAGAACTGCAAATACTCAGTAAATACACAGGATGGATGTACATCTGTTGGCCTCAGACGATGCTTAAAACAGTCCAGCTTTGGAAGATGTTAGGGAGCCCACTTGGCAATACACAAATAATAAAAGTATATAAAAGAAAATAATTATTTCTTCAGTCATTTCTTCCTGAACTGTATCTTAAGACATGCTTTCTTCAAGCATCCCAGCTTATAAAAAAAAATGGAACAGTGGAGAGTTGCTATTTTTCAGTCTCTGGGCTGGGATCAGAGACAGCCCCTAGTGTCCCAAAGGAGACACAGTAGAACATTATGTTCCTTTAATAGAGACACAAAATCCCACCTAATAAATGGTCTGGCAATTAAAAAAAAAAAGGAGTCCAAGTCTGTCTAAGTATCTAGATCTCAGTGCCACTTAAAGAAATACAAGAGAGAAGGGAGCTTGTTAACCAGCCACTCTGGGAAGCAACTGGCAGAATTCAGAGTGCATGGGGCTGGGAGACAGCTCAGTAGAGTGCTTTCTGTGCAAGTACAAGGACCTGAGTTCGAGCCCCAGCACACACCTCAAAAGCTGGGTGGATAAGTGGGACTCTGCTGGCCAGTTAACCTAGCTTCACTGATAAGCCCCAGAATGAAAAATTCTGTCCTGTAAAACAGGTGGACAGCTCTTGAGAAATAACACCTGACCTATCTTGTGTGAGAGACTGTGTAAAACAAAACAAAACAAAACAAAACAAAACAAAACAAAACAGCCAACCAACCAACCAACCAACCAAACAAAAAACAGCACAACCAGGTATACAGCTCCTGAAGAACACTTGAGTCTGTCTTGTCTCCATGTATGTGTGTGTGTGTGTGTGTGTGTGTGTGAACATGCACATACACACACATGAACCCACACCCATGCACCACACACATCTGCACACAATGTGCACCCTCACACTCATATACATACATGCATTCGTAGACACACACACACACACACACACACACATACATCTTCTCATGTGCACACAAATCCAGAGTGCAAGAGATATCTTAAGAAATATCGGGAGGCAGGAACTGACTCCCTGAGATTGACACATGACTTGAGACCTGGCGGCCCATTGTAAGGCATGTACTGGAAAGTCACTGTGAAGCTCTTATACAGCTGGTCTTTTATCTGTTAGAGAGAATCACAGACCTATAGCCGACTTTTCTTAGGGATGCAACAACATGCTGTAAGTCCATCCCAGAGCAGCGGCAGCTGGGATACAAGTGGGCTCATAACCCCAGCTGGGTAGGCTAACAAATGGTACTTAAGGCTGCAAGGGAAGGAAGGGTCCTATCCTGATTAGGGGGTAAGGCTCTGGAACTGGACTGAGGAGAGTATCTGGGCCTAACCCAGTGCCTGGCACAAAAAAGATGCTTGATGAATGTATGAAGGAACAAAATACTGGTTGTAAGTTCAGCTACTTGAATAGGAGAACCTCCCCCCTCACATTCAAGGACCAGCTTCTGACACAGGGGCTGGGGATCCGAACTCAGGTCCCGTTTGCATGGCGAGGGTTTTACTGCCTGAGATCGTTCTAGCTGCTGCAGCAAGTTCTTAAACAATTTTCCCACAGGAAATGAACTTTACTTCTTTTTGAGCTTTTAAAAAAATATTACACTTTGACATGGTTTGAAACTTTCATGATAGAAATTGAATTATGAAAGGATTCACTGGCATTCACTGGTCTCTCTCTCTTTTTCAATGCAACTCTGTGAGCCTGAATGTTTTCCTGCGTCCAGTTGGAGAGTCTTTGTCTTTAATGGGGAGTTTAATTGCCTCAATTGTCATAACTGATACATGTGTCTCACTACTGTCATTTCTTGATGCTCTCTGTGGCTGAGACATGTCTTTAGCGACAGGCCATATGCTTCCTTTTGTTTTAATTTCCTACTGGGAAGCGAAAAATAGAAACCCTTCTTTTTGTTCTCGCTGGGAATACTTTGAAGTCTTTCATAAAGACATTTGATATTACAGTCTCTGTAGCGATATAATCCTAAAAGGGCTGCCCAGAATCTGGGAATGGATTCCGGCACCATTGAGTACAAGCTGGGAAGGTGCTGGGCAGGTGACTTGTGACCTTGACCATTAGTTGGGAAAATAACTCTACTTGCCTTCCAGGGCTGTTGCTAGGCCGCAATTGGGTGACACCCACCAACACTTGTCACAGAAGGCTGTGGCTATTGGAGTCTTCCTTGAAAGATTGACAAGGCAGAGATGACCACGAGAGATATCAAGGCACTGCTAGGAAGCAGCCTCTTGTACCTGGAAATATTTCTTAGGACATGTCTGACTGTTTAACACACATAACTACAGCCACATCTGGCCTGGCCACTGAGGTGCTGTCCACAGCTGCTTTTGAGTGGCAGTGACGGAACTGAAGGGAGAGTGATCTTAGCTGTCCACAAGGTCGAAAATATTCCCTCTCTGGACCTTTGTCCACTCCTGCCTTCAGGTCTGCAGGTGATGACCTTCCTCCTTTCCAAATTTAGAAGTCATTTCCTTCCGGCCTTGTCCTAGTACAGTTGCTCCAGATTGGAGTGGCTCTTAGAGTATATTAAAGGAACATCTAAAAGACTATTAGTGGCTGCATTTAATTGTCCACCAGGTGGAGATGCTTAATTAAAAAAAAATACCCAGAAAAAAATAGAGACAAAGATGCCAATCAAGAAGCCAGGGTCTTACCAGGCACAGACAGAAAGAAGGAGCTAGGTGATGTGGGTGGGTTTCTGGGCCGTGGCTCTCCCTCCCACTCTAAGATTTTAATTTTCCTGTTCTCAAACATAACTTTCACCCATAGAAGAGTCAATCCTGATCCGATTGGTCTGATAAAAAATAACGGTCAAAATCAAGTTCAAATAATACCAACTGCCATATGTATTGAGCGTTCTCTGTCTGCCAGTCATGCTTACAGCAACCCAGCTGGGAGGGTCCTGAATCATCTGTGCTTTGCTGATGTGGCAACTGAGGCACAGAAGGGCCATATGGCTTCCCCAGCGTGACCTGACTGGTTGGCTGTGAGGTGGGGAGAGTAGGTCAACCAATGACACATTTTTCACAGGGGCATGTGGCTGGTTAGAAATTCATTAATTCACTCATTCATTCATTCATCAAACAGCATTGGCTGGGTGTGGATCAGGTGTCCACACTCTGCAGGAGTAAGGTTGTGAGCCAGGATGGTGTCCTGACTTCCGGGAGCTCACACACTGATGGGAGCACAGTAAATACGGAGGGATGCTGGTTTTATGTTTGCTGTAACCCTTGAAAGATGGCTAACATCTATCCTCCTCCCTTCTCATTTCTGCTTTACATGGAAAACTAGAGGCTCAAAAGAGAAGCAGCTCAGCCAGTAGTCTCTGGATGGCCTGTCCTATCTCACACACCTGCTCGTCAGCTGGGAGGCAAAGTCCTCCCAAAGACCCTCCTCCTTTATCCTCCCAGGGCCTCTCACTTGTGGGGTGAGGTCTGGGTAAGCAGGCAGGTCCTTGAGGGCTCCATCCTCTGTCTATCACAGGAGATGAGAGGAAGAAGCTTTCTGTTCTCCCAGCCACAGCCCTTGCCTGTCCAGACAGCACCATTTCCCTTAATGTACCTTCAGGACATGCAGTATCCGTCTATTGAGTCTCACTGAGCACTGATTCTGTGCCAGGCGCTGTGCTTGGCACACAGATTTGACATGATCCCTATCCCTAGGAGGTGTAATCTGTGTTTGAAATCTCTGCTGCCAGCTGGACCAAACGCTGGTCTGAGAAGTTTCAAAACTGCCCTGAGACCCAAGGCAGGGCTGGACAGATGTTGTAACAAGCCTGGCACTTGCTAAGAGCCATGTGTCTTCCAGTTGGCCTGTTCTCCATCACCTAGAGAGTAACTGTTGGATACCAAGGCAGGGTTTAACAGAGGGCACAGCTGATGGAGCAGGGAGAGCCCAGGAGGAACGACCATGTGAAGGAAAGGACAGCAGGCATCCTTGAGAGGCCAAACTCAAGAGTGCTGGCATCCCTGTGTGTGGGAGGACAAGCTGAGGGGGACACTATAAACTTGTTGGGACAGTAACTAGAAACCCAGCTCCTCATGGCTGTCCTTTGTGAGCCCTGAGCTGAAAGAAGCTGCATTTTGGTGGCCGATATTCCAGAAGGAGTTTTTTTCCCAGTTTAATTTCAGTTCACAGTTCAAATTCCCTGGCAAAGCTATCCCATCAGGCCTCCCATCCCAGTATGAGAGCAAGAAGACCTCCTGGGTTGTTGGAGGAGAAGATGCATGAATGCAGAGATGAACCACAGTGGTTGGAGCCACTTACTATGCTCACCCCAGCCTCTCAGACTGACAGCCACTGTCCAAGCCCAGGGACACTCACCTTCACAGCGCAGCACGGCACTGTTCCACACCACGCTGCCCTCCTTCAGAACACAGGTGATGGTCTCGGAGCCCTGCGTCCCGAGGAAGCCTTCATCACACAGGAAGGAGATGGAGCTGCCCAGCTGCAGGCTGTCACCAAATCGCTTGCCGTTAACCGGAACACCAGGATCCGGGCACTCGTTATGTCGGAAGGCTGGGGAAGGGGATGTCCAGGCCATTAGACTGAGGGGGTACACAAATGGGCCACCAAAGATAAATGAGCTGCCAACAGTCAGAATCAGACCTCCACACTTCCTCAAGAACTTGGCATCCTGAAAAAGATGCTAGGTGTCCCAGTACCTGGGACCCTGTGGTCATGGCCGACAGAACCCACTGGGCACAAAACACGCACAGATTAAACTTGATTTTCAGGCTGTCTGAACACATTCTAAGGGATACCGACAGACTGGGCAGTGAACTGTGTTTCTCATGGTAACTAATTGTATCACATCAAAATTCTATCATGGAGATATGACTACTCTCCTTTACCAGAGGGGAAACTGAGGTTCCATGTAGTTTACTGGCAGATCTGTCTTCTCAGTGTCAAATCCATTCCATGCTTTCCAAATTTCAGATGGTTAAGTGGTTAAGGGATCACGTATGCTGCGGGGGAGCTGGCTTCCAGTTTTGTGACACTAATAGACACTATGCATCATAAAGTTGGTGCCCTGGAATTAGCCCTGTCTGAAGCCATTGCCTGCATGTCCTTGTCTCATGCCAGGGCTGCTTCTCATTCTGCCAGGCAATTGATAATGCAATGAGTGAGCCCGGGGGGTGGGAGAGAGAGAGAGAGAGAGAGAGAGAGAGAGAGAGAGAGAGAGAGAGAG